ACACCGCACCTCCCCCGCCGACTCCCCCCACCATCACGCCCCGTGCGTGTCAACGCGCCTGCCTTCTGCTTTCTGAATTTTTTTCCGTTACACATATCTCTGTCACTTTTATATCCCTCTCTCTTCTATCTCGTATAGTATCCTTCTTGAAACATCTTCAGGGCCTCGGGCGTCTCTATAGCGCTCTATGGCTATTGCGAGCGCCATGAAACTTCTACTAACACACACACACACACACACACTCAATCAGTTATGTCGTATAAGTGCCGAAGACTAGAGTAGAGAGTCACATACAAATAGAAGAAGGAAGATAGATGTTTAACAGGAAAGAGGGAGCAAACCACACCAGAGCACATGCCAACCACCCACCAGGTTTGCATTTTGGATTGGATTTTTAAAATTATTTTTTGTTGTATGTGTGTGTACTTTTTAAAAATGTGTTATGTATTATAAAATTAGTGTTTTTTTGCAAATACATTTTTTCATTTGGGTTTTTTTTTTTTGTTTGTGTGTGTATTTGTTCACTTATTTTTTTTTTTTTTTTTTTTTTTTAATTTTTCATTATTTTTTTGTGTGTATTTCCTTTTTTTTTTTTTTCAAATCAGATGTTTCCATTACTGTTGTGTGTGTGTGTGTGTTATGTTTGTGTATTTATTTTTTTAAAAATATTTTTGGTTTGTCCAGGTGTGCGGGACAGCTGCCGGTTCCTGCACGACATGGGCTGGGAGCGGCGTGGGGAGTTGCCGGGATTTCCCTTCACGGGCGAGGGCGCCAGCTCTGGGCACCTCAAGTCGGTGGCCTGCGAGTGCAATGACCTCATCGCGTCGCTTCAGAACATCAAGTCCGTGCTGCACTCCACGCGGCGGCAGATCAAGATCTCCAAGTGAGTCAGATCTGCCCGGGTGGAAATAATGTCAGTGGGGTTGTTTTGTTTGGGGGTGGGGGGGGGGGGGTCTTTCTTTCTTTGTTTTTTTTTCTTTCTCTTTTTCGTTTTGTTTGGGGTTTTTAAAAAAATAAAATGAATGGGTGGTAGGTGGGTGCTTTGGTGTGGTTTGCTCCTTGTTTCCTATCAAACGTCTGTCATCCCTGCCTCCTAAGTGATCGAAATTGTGTTGGTTGAGGTGGGGGGGGGGGGGATGAGGGGGGAGGCAAAAACACCTACATTTTTCTTAATTTTTTAATAAAGTTTTCTTTCCCCGGGTGATCTATACCTCCCTCTGAGGTTGGTGGGCGTCACTGGTAGGTTCTTCTACTTCCTTTTCCCTCTGGTGTCTGTGTATGTGTCTATTTGTCTGTCTGTCTGTGTGTGTGTCTATTTGTCTGTCTGTCTGTGTGTGTGTCTATTTGTCTGTCTGTCTGTGTATATGTCTATTTGTCTGCCTGTCTGTGTGTGTCTATTTGTCTGTCTGCCTGTGTATGTGTCAATTTGTCAATCTGTCTGTGTGTGTGTCTATTTGTCTGTCTGCCTGTGTATGTGTCTATTTGTCTGTCTGTCTGTGTGTGTGTTCCAGAGAGGAGGAGGACGCAGAGTTCCAGCTGTGGCAGACGGACTGGGACCACTGGACCAAGCCGGAGGAAGACATCCAAGACATCCTCACTCCGCACTCTGTCGATCCCGTCCCCTCGCCGACGCCCTCCACCTTCCTGTTCCCGTCCACGCCCGCTCCCGCAGCGACCGCTGTTGCCGTGACGATGACTGCGACGGAGGGGACTGCGGCAACGGAAAGACAGCCCATCCTTCCTCCTGCGGTGCCCTCCTCGTCGGCACCGTTGTTGTTGTTGCCGGAAGCAACGACCGGTTCCTTATTGACCTCCTTGTCGGCAGTCTCGCAGTCTCAAGTCTCGTCATCGGTGACGGCATCATCGTCATCATCGGCTTCCTCGTTGTTATCGCAGTTCTCCTCATCTGTTATTTCATCGTCCCATGACACTTCGACCACACCTCCCCAACCCCCAACAGTATCTTCAGCATCAACGTCAAACGTCCATTCCGTCCCTCCCCCTCCTCCTTCTTCCCGTCCTGATCTGGTCAACACAGACTCCGTGTCCCCCCCTCTGTCGTCGTCGGGAACAGCAGCCAATCAGGAGCCTCCGCAGCCTCCACCACCCCCCCTTCACCCCACCCCGTCCTCGGCCCGTAGCGCCAGCGGCACCACGCTCCCGTCCATCCAGGGGCGGGCGGGGGGGCTTGTCAGAGATCTCTTTCCTGGTCCGGCCGGCGACGCGGGACCACAAGTCACGTTACTCCCGTCTGCCGCTACTCCCAATGGCAACAGGGAGGAGACACCATCATCATCATCAACACCATCATCATCATCGTTATCGGTGACGTCAGTATCCTCCGGCCAACAAAACTCCTCGAGATCTGCCCCCCCTCCAATCAGCGGTGGGGCGTCTCAGAATCAAACAGACGCGACTGACAACAGAAGAGATTCCCAGAAAGTGTCAGAGATCCGACCGGAGGGTAGGCGCCCGTTCATTATCTCCACTCTCCCGACGGCCGCGATAGGGAGCAGACTTTCTGCGGCCCCGGTTCACACGCAGAGCTTGGGCGTTGTCGCTGGTGAAGCGAGCCGCGTGCAGGCAGGAGGGGCGAACACAGGCTCGACCCCAGCAGGAAGTGACTCTAGGGCTAACGCTCTCCTCTTGACCCAGCCGAAAGTGGGTTCTGATTCGTCCTCGGCGCCCGAGCCTGGTCAGTCTAGCCTCGGTGACGGCGGGGGAAGTAGTAGGGGCAGTTCTTTCAGGACTAACGAATCTGGGGAAAGTCTTCTCGTCAACGGAAGACTCAAACAGGAAACGGGAGCCGGAGGTTGCCCAGGTTCGACGGTGTCATTGCAGACGGAGAGAGAGAGGAAAGAGGGCGTGTCTGCGTCGTTCGAGGAGCGGGGAAGCGGAGACGTGAGCTCAGGACTCCTGCCAGACGATCCCCCAAGGTCACACAACAGCAGCTCCCTCTACGTGGAGGTGGCCGACGATGGGAGCAGCAACCTCAATGGTTTTGACGACGACGACAAGGATGATAATGACGTGAGGGCTTTCTTCTTTCTTCGTCTTCTTCTTCTTCATCTGCTTCTTTTTCTTCTTCTTCTTCTGCTTCTTCTTTTTCTTCTTCTTCTTCTTCTTCTTCTTCTTCTTCTTCTTCTTCTTCTTCTTCTTCTTCTTCTTCTTCTGTTTCTTCTTCTTCTTCTTCTTCTTCTTCTTCTTCTTCTTCTTCTTCTTCTTCTTCTTCTTCTTCTGCTTCTTCTTTTTCTTCTTCTTCTTCTTATTCTTCTGTTTCTTCTTCTTCTTCTTCTTCTTCTTCTTCTTCTTCTTCTTCTTCTTCTTCTTCTTCTTCTTCTTCTTCTTCTGCTTCTTCTTTTTCTTCTTCTTCTTCTTCTTCTTCTTCTTCTGTTTCTTCTTCTTCTTCTTCTTCTTCTTCTTCTTCTTCTTCTTCTTCTTCTTCTTCTTCTTCTTCTTCTTCTTCTTCTTCTTCATCTGCTTCTTCTTCTTCTTCTTCATCTGCTTCTTCTTCTTCTTCTTCTTCTTCTTCTTCTTCTTCTTCTTCTTCTTCTTCTTCTTCTTCTTCTTCTTCTTCTTCATCTATGT